TCGAATGTCAAAAACCGATTTCTCGACATACGGTTAACCTAGCGGTTCCTTAGATTAATATGTAAAAAAAACAACAATAATTGTAATGTCTGAGCTTGGTTCAGAATTTGATGACGCAATTTGAAACATTTGCCGCGACAACTACACATAATTTTAAATTTGACATGTTTTACGCCAATTTTATGTAGGAAGGAATATTATTTATTTAAAATTTATATACGCCGTTCACGGTGCTGTTCTGAGAGGTGATTTTTGGACTTTCTGTGAAACCCAATTTTTTTTATATTCTTGTTAATTAGCTCATAACAAAAATTTTAAGAGCAAAATAAAAAAAAAATTGACGGTTTGAATTGTTTTAATTGGCTGTTTATTAAAAATATTATGCACTCTTTCAATTATCCAATTAAATAATTTAATTTAAATATTTAATATTTGCATAACTAAAAAAAAAGGTTCTTACATTTTTTTTTTATATATTTTACTGTTTTGTTGCAATAATCGTTCAAACTTTTAATCTAACCTTTGACGTATACATTTATGTTCCCTTAATTAATATATCCTTAGGTTGCCATGAAACTTAGATCTATTAAAAATTTATTTGACGTTTGAATTGTCATTTTCAGTATACGTATTCTATAATTTTTGTTTAGTTTTTTAAAGTGTTTTTTATAAACAAAAATGAAAAATTGTAGTAAAAGTTACGAAGAAATTCATGAAATTTAACTAAGGACCGGTTTATTCATCTTTAGTAAAGTTTATCGGGCCGATAACTTTCATGTCTTGGCAATATCTAGTATCCAAAGAAATTATTTGTGAAATAAATTAAAAATGAATAAATCGGCCCTAAATAAAATGTGGCACCCTTAGAATTATTGTTTAATAAATGTATACTATACATTTAACCTAAAATTAAAACTTTAAACGTGTATTACAACAAAACAGTAAAAGATATAAAAAATGTATAGACCTTTTTTGTGAAATTAACTAATCTTTAATCTGATTTAAAAAGTTATGATAATATTTAAATAAAATCGAAAGTTTTAATTGGAGAATTGAAAGTGTGCATACATATTTTTAATAAACATCCAATTAAAACAAAATTAACCGTCAAATTTTTTTTATTTTGCTCTTAAAATTTTAGTTATGACCTAATTAAAAAGAATATAAAAAAAATTTGGTCCAAAAATCACCCCTAACAGCACCGTGCGTTGTTTTAAAGATTTTAGTTTTTTTCTTATAAATATATAAAAAGGATAGTTTGTTGGTTTAAACTTTATTTACGTTTACTAAAAATAAAATATTTGAATTTTTAATAATAGTTTTATAAAAACATGCGAAAAAGTATAGTAATTGGACATTTTATATAGTAATTGGACACAGGGACCATAGTTATTGGACATACAATTTTTATATAAACATAACAACTTTATATCAAATAACATAAATTATTAAATATTTTAAATTGCTGTTTTAGGTAATTTTTTTAATTTCGTTTTTGTAAATATCATATAATTCATATATTTATTTTTTGGATTCCCCATCCCTTTTCTGGATTCTGAAGGTAACTACTAATTCCTTGGTCTGACTTCTGAAATAGTTTGTTGCAAATATAATTAAGGGTGATATCTCTAGTTTGTGAATCTTTTATAATGTTTAGGCCGGAACAGGATGATTTATATATATCTAATATTTTTTCGGGTGGTATGTTAAAAATATTTTCCGAATTTATTAATTTTGTTGCCATTAGTTTTTTATGTTCTCTATCAACACTGTATTTAAATCACTGTTATTCTGCAAGATGTCCTGTGACGAAGAAATCACTATATTACTTACTCTCTAGTTAAAAAAGCAGCCACTAATAATTCTCGTCAACAGCAATTTGTATCCAGGACATTTATGAAATATTATTCGCTAAATCTGAAAATGTCGTCAAAAATTATAAAAGTAGAACAGTTTTTGAAATATAATCAATTTTACATATATGGAATTTACTATATCTCAAAAAACTGCTTAACTTTTATAGTTTTTGACGGTCTTTTCGGATTCAGGGGACAGTTTTACATAAGAATTGGCTGGTAAATGTCCGGGATATAAATAGAGTATGATATTGGACATATGTCCAATAATAGAAATTTACATTTTTACCAACTAGTAATTGGACACTGGCCATTTTACTGTTTGTTTTCAGAATTAAAATTAAAACGCATTAAAGTGACAATGTTTAAACCATGAGGAACAGATTTATACCACACACTGATCTGTACACTTTAAAAAAATATTTTTTATTGTAATTTAAACACAGTCAGCTCTTAACAAAAAAACAAAAATCTTACCACCAAAGTAACGTGCGAACTTTTTTGTCCTATATTGGACCCAAAATAAAGTAGATAGTTCTATAATATTACCGACTGAGATAGTTATAGTTGTATACAGCGTCATCTAATGATTTGACTTTAAGGTAACTATTTAACTCTTGTTTTTACAGTATTAATGTTAATTGTCCAATAACTGTCTACTTTACTTTATACATACATACATACATGTTTGGTATTTTAAACAAATAAACTATATTTATTAATTTATTTTATTATTTTTCAATATTTTGAAAAAAGCTAATATTGATTAAAGCAAAACAGACAGCATAGAACAAATGCATAGTCTATCAACAATAAAAAATTCTGCCACGAATGAAAATTATAATAATTTACTACAACAACAAATTTGTATGCTTTGGATCGCGTGTAAAAAGTAGGTATATGTTTGAAATAAATTCACGCCATAGATCAATCTTCATAAATTGTCTGATAATCTGAAGTTGATAAGTGAAACGATAAAAACGGCAGTCCTACTTTGAAAAGTTGACGTGAAAAGATAAAATAAATTTACCAAGTAGAAAATCAATGCTCTGTCACATTTTGAATATCTGATTCCTCAAATAAATTCGTTATATAATCAAATCTATGCATAGAACTGTTGAAAAGAATGAAATGACACAAAAAATTTGAATTTCATAAAAAAAGAAGACCAAAGACCTTTGTATTGGATTTTAGACTATTTTAATTTTGCAATAAAATTAATGAAAGCCTTAAAGTGCATACCACGAAATCTCTTTGATCAAATCGCGTTTTCGCATGTTGGAAAACAGTTAATTTGCAGGGATTTAATATGGAAATGTTTTTGTTTGCATTTTAAACTAAACGATAACCATTACGCAACTTCCTGCAAAGTAATTCGTTAGTATTCAAAATTAGTTAGGTAGTTTTGTTCGTGTGCACTATTTTTACTTTTTTATTTTTCTTGAATTTATAACAGTTTAAAACAATTAATTATTGCTCCGTGTTTAAAGTTTACATTGTTTAAAAACTGGCCTTTAAACTGTTTCCGGACTTTTAAAATTGTCTATAGTCATCTTAAAGCATACAGCATAGAACAAAATTATACTCTATCAAGAATAGTTATTATTTTGATGATTAGATAAATATTGTGGATTTTATTTATGGGTTAACTTCCTTTTAAACAGAAAATTATACAAATTTACGATATTATTGGTTACGCTATAATTTTAGCATTATTTTGGAAAAAGCTAATACTGATGAAAGCAAAATAAACAGCATAGAAGAAAATTATACTCAATCAATAATAGATTTGCATTATTAAAAAGACAATTATCCAAAAAAATCGTAATATTTATTGTAAAACCACACCAAGTCCACATTTAGAACAAAATCATTGGACCCACACATTATTTTGATAATTTGATAAGTATTGTGGATTTTATTTATGGGTTTACTTCTTTTTAAACAGAAAGTTATACAAATTTACGATATTATTGGTTATACTATTATTTTAGCATTATTTTGGAAAAAGCTAATCCTGATTAAAGCAAAAAAGACAGCATAAAACAAAATTATTCTCCATTAAGAATAGATTTGCATTATTAAAAAGACAATCATCCAAAGAAATCGTAATACTAAGTGTAAAACCGCACCAAATCCACATTTAAAACAAAATCATTGGACCCAGAAATTATTTTGATGATTTGATAAATATAGTGGATTTTATTTATGGGTTTACTTCTTTTTAAACAGAAAATTATACAAATTTACGATATTATTGGTTACGCTATAATTTTAGCATTATTTTAGAAAAAGCTAATACTGATTAAAGCAAAATAGACAGCATAAAACAAAATTATTCTCCATTAAGAATAGATTTGCATTATTAAAAAGACAATAATCCAAAAAAATCGTAATATTAAGTGTAAAACCGCACCAAGTCCACATTTAGAACAAAATCATTGGACCCACACATTATTTTGATGATTTGATAAATATAGTGGATTTTATTTATGGGTTTACTTCTTTTTAAACAGAAAGTTATACAAATTTACGATATTATTGGTTATACTATTATTTTAGCATTATTTTGGAAAAAGCTAATACTGATCAATGCAAAATAGACAGCATAGAAGAAAATAATACTATATCAAGAATAGATTTGCATAATTAAAAATACAATCATCAAAAGAAATCGTATTTTAGCATTATTTTGGAAAAAGCTAATACTGATGAAAGCAAAATAGACAGCATAGAGGAAAATTGTACTCTATCAGGAATAGTTTTGCATTATTAAAAAGACAATCATCCAAAGAAATCGTAATATTAAGTGTAAAACCGCACCAAGTCCAAAATCATAGGACCCACACATTATTTTGATGATTTTTTACTTTTTTTAAATAAAATATTATACAAATGTACGATAATATGGGTTATGCTATCATTTTTGCCTTATTTTATAAAAGCAAAATAGACAGCATAGAACCAAATTATACTCTATCAAGAATAGTTTTTTATTATTAAAAAGACAATCATGCAAATAAATCGTTACACCAAGTCCAAATTACGCTTTTTGTCCTTTTTAGTTTTGTAAATGTGTAAAAATGTCCCAGCACCCAAAAAATCTCGTATAAATAATGAAACAAGAGATAAAACGCTCCAAACCTTTTTCAGCATTTTAGGCCTGTTGTCGATATCCTCAGCGCTGATGTTGTTGTTGGCACCGAGCGCCTCCACAGGCTCCTGCTTGTTGGCTTGCATCACCCGGACGGCCTGCAGTCTCCTGCGGAGGTTCTGCAGCGCGAGCGCCTCCTCGCGTTTCCTGCTCGGCCGGTAACCGTGCGCGGAAGGCAGGATCGCGAACTGAGGTTCCGGAGGTTGCTGACCACATGTTTCCTAAACAAAATTAAAGCAGATTTATTCATTCATTCAAGTCCTTAAAATGATTTCTTTGATTCAAAATTGCAACATTTTGAATCAAAGAAATCATTTTATAAGTAAAAATTAGTTCGAGCAAGTGCGATTTAGCGTATATTTTTCATGTTATAAACACCTCAAGATTGTAACAAGAAATATGTTGGACAAACTAAACGATCCATAAAAGTAAGGTTTAAAAAGCACTTGGGCCATGGTAGATTTAAATCCTACCAATTGGTAGGACAGAGAAATCGAGTGTTGCCCAACATATACAGTCCGTTCAGGCTAAGTTGAGCGCTTTGGTGGGGGATCTTGTGACCGTTGATTAAATTAAATATCTAATCCTCGCAAGATTTCGGTAACAAGAAGATGATTTATCAGTGTCGGGGCTTGCGGTTTGTTGGTACAGAGCGGCTACCGAAATACATGTATTTAATAGTGACTAAACATAGAGATGATGGACGGGGTGACATTCCTAAGACCGCTCAACTTAGCCTGAACGGACAGTAGGTACTTGATAATGGTCATAGAATCCCTTGCGGCCTTGAGTTCACGGTTTATTCACCGTGAATTCACTGTGAATTCACCGTGAATTCACTGTGAATTCACCGTGAATTCATTTAGTTCAGTTACCTATATAATAGTAAAATATACCATAAACTACGTATAAAGGTAATTAGTATAGTATAGTATGTATTTGTCAAATTAAAACAATTTTCGATAACAAAAATACGTTTACTATAGGTATTTTATTTTATGTTAAAAATAAATATTTATTAATTTGTATACCGATTTTTTATTACTGAATAACATTTTTATGTATAATAATCCTAACTATCTTCAACTTCAATCTAATCTGACTTATCCCACAAAATTTTCCAATTTTACTTTTTATGAAATAATGTCATATAACTTATGGTTTAGAGGTCAAATTGTTTATTTTATATTTTTACAAATACATTTCACTGCCATATTATAACAGTGAGGCGTATTTGTCATCTCCTGAAGAATTTTCACGAATGTAGAATACAACATATTAGAACGTGGGTATCTGACATATTTGGGAATATTCTCAAAAGCTTTCTAGAAGCTCCATAAGAAACCTTCTAAAAACATTCCAAAAACGTATTCTTAATATGTTCTTAGGATTCTTTTTAGGAAGGTTTTAAGAAGCTTTTAGGAATCTAATGGCATCATTAAAAGGGTATCTAAGGAATGTTTTAAAAGTCCCTAAGAACATTCTTAGCAATAAGGGAAGGTTCTAAGAATATTCCATTAGAAGATTCTTAAAATCAAATTTTGCTATCAGGGACGTATTTACTGAAGCGGTTACGGTCCACGGTTTAGTAAACTGTGTCCACTTTAGCTTATAATTTCTATAAAAATGAAAGATTTAGCTTACATTTACACTTCGCTTCTAAATATGCCAACATCGTTGGCGAAAAGTTGTTTTGGTGAATATTTTTTGTAAGAAACTTTAGTGCGGCTCATCGTATAATAATAATAATAATAATAATAATAATAATAATAATAATAATAATAATAATAATAATAATAATAATAATAATAATATTAATAATAATAATAATAATTTATTGGTCAGCAGAAATTTAAAGAAGTTGTATAAATAATCAAACAAAGACAGCACTGTTTAAAAAACAAAATGTTTTTAAAAATTAGAGCTAAGATATTCTTCAGTTGAATAAAAACATTTTTCTAGTAATATGTTTTTTGTTGTTGATTTAAATTTAATAAAATTAACTGAGTTCCCATATAAAATTACACCATAAAAAGTGTTTTTTGTAGTAATTGTATGTTGTTCTAGCGTCAAATAATTTGACTTAAATTTATAACGGTTAGATCATGGTACCATCGGTTAGATCATGGAGCCTACACAAGGAGTCCGAATATCAAGTAAACAAGAATCTTCCTAAGATAAGAGGGCGCTGGTGTTCCGTTTATTCTGAAACAATTGTTTAATTTGTACCGAAACGATAGCATAGAAAAAAAGAAACTTAATTTGTACAATTTAGAGGGCAGGTTTTGTCAATTTCCCCTATTAAGTTCGGGCTCCTTGTGTAGGCTCCATGGGTTAGATACTGGTTTGTGAATAAAAATCGTTCGTTTTTTTCAAAGAAAGCTAATGTAGAATTTCATTTTCAAACATTGTTTGGCAAAATATCGTTGGTGATATTTTATAAATTAATTTTTTTATAATTTTTTTTTATTTAATAATAAAAGTAAAAAAATAAATGTCGCTAACGATGTTTTGACAAAAGTAATTATCAAATCTATATCCCACAAAGTAACGTAAATGTAACTTAAGCGACAAGACTAATTTTACATTTTCCTAAAGATGTTCTTATAAAATATCGTATGCCACAAAATTTAATGAAAATTTTCAGATAAATAACTTTAAAAATAAAGCTCCCACACAAAAAAATATCTCCTGTAAAATTTAGGTTTGGTCGCTTACGATGTTTTGTCAAATAACCATTGTAACGTATTTTTTACTAATAAATAAAAACGCACACGCCGGCTAGTTGTCAGTTTGACTTCGTGAGCTAGATCGTGTGTTGGTGTTGGTTACTAAAAATTTAAGTTTTATTAAAAGATGTTTATTTAAATGGGCGCCAAATATTTCAAATTAAACTATGTAGGTATTAAACAAGTAAACGAAATATTAATTTTTACTTGAAAAAAAATATATGTAATAGATGTTAAATAGAAAATTTTATAAATATTATTTAGTTTCTGAAATAAAACAAAAAGATGATAAAATAAAAGAACCAGTTTTTACACACAGTTTTTTAATACGCGGACAACAAAACAAATAAAATCTACTTATAATTGCATAGCACAGTGAACAGAAAACAACTGTTATAAATGCTGATATTTAGGTAAGCTTGTAAAACTATCTATAACAAAATTAAGTAAAATACTATACCCCTTTTAGCATACACTGGAAGAAATAATAATAATGATTGGTTTATACAATTCATAAAATTGGCAACAATAATGGAAAACTGCAGTTTACCTTTTACAATTATATAAAATCAGTGAGTAGGTAGTATTTCCTTATTTTAAATAGGCGATGTTCCTAAGGCTTGTTGTTTTCTAGGTTGCTTCGGTTTCGTCGCTGAACCTTCAGGATGATTTACAAGTAGATGACGATGTACAAAGGTAACACAAAGGACAATATATTCTTCACAATCTAATATAACGGATTACTGTGTAAAACTTCTCCAATTTCCACAAAAGAAATGAATACAAGATATTCCAAGAATTTTCCTTGTTCTACCTCTTCAAAATTTATATTAAAGATGATATGTTGATAAAGTGAAGTTAATTAACTTTTAAAAGGTGTACCCATAAAAAGGTGTACTCAAATAAAGGTGTACTCAAAAAAAGGTGGCAATTGTTCTACAACAAAATGAAGCATTAGGAAAATTACCATGTGGCCACATTGACAAAGTGCCAAAAAAATCAAGAAAAATGTAAGTAAATTATTAAATTAATAAATTAAATAATTAAAAGAAAATAATTAAAAGATTTACCTTAAAATAAAGATTTGCCTTGTTCTTTATAATAATAGAATTAAATAAATTTTTATTTGGCTTGAAACACAACCGACTTCTTCAAAGTATCGAATAGAAAAGAACGTGGCTAGATCTTGAAAAAAATTAGTAATTTTCATTTAGAACCAAATTTGTTTAGAGGATTTTAACTTTAACTATAGGCATTACCAATATTTTAATTAATGTGAATAAAAAAAATAATGTGTATTTAAATTTGAATTTAATTTAGATTTTAATTTATTTTTAATTTTCAGCCAGCTTCAATTGTCGAAGAAAAATAATAAAGAAATATTCATGAAATTAAATTATGAAGAATAATTACATAAATCTTAAACAATGGTTATTTAATCAATGGAAATTAAACACAAAAAAACATAAACAAACGCAAATTGCAAATGACAGCACTTACAAGAAAACTATCACCTATTCCTAGAATCTGCTAGGAAAACGAAAATAAACTTAAACATATAAATATAGGTAAGTTCTATTTTATAATACAACTAATACTTTGCAAGTACATTACTATTTGTTTTCAGGATTCATAGAAAATACATGAAGGTCATGTGGAGGTTATGGCTGGAAATATTGGACAAAATTTAAATAACTAAAAGTGATATTATACAGTATGGATCAGAATTGAAATAAATTATGAAACTAACTTATTTTATTGTTTGCATTTTAACACAGTATAAGTATGCAGATGTTTATTACCAATATTTTCTGTAAGCATAAATATGACTAAAATTCACAATTACAATTTAAATTTTTGTAACGGCACTTTTGCCCGTTACACCACCTCTCTCCTACGGAAAAAAAATTGAAAGTCAATTTTTTTTTAAGAACTGAAATACCTATTATATACAATATTTTCTATATCAAAAAAACATTTTGTGTCGTAAAGCATATTTGTGGTATCTCTGTGTACCAAACATCTCTAAGGAGTCATAATTTGTTAAGGTCATAAGATGATAAAAGTATCTACGCGTACTAAACGGCATAAAGCGACAAAATCGGTAAGTCAATAATAAGCAAAACGAAATCACAAAAAAAATACTTGCAAGTTTACTAATACCTAATCTAAATTTATTTACAAAACCTAATTAAAACTAAATATTAAAATTTAATATGAATTATTATGAACTAACCTACTGACACATTAGAATTAGAACCTAAATAAACCTTTAGATCTTTCACATGCCAGCGGCCAGCATCAGAGCCATCCAAATGATCTAATTGATACACAAGGTTACCCAACCTTTTCTTAACGGTACATAATATAAACTTTGGTGCAAGTTTTGCGGTAAATTTATTTGCACCATCACTTAGCACTTTATTGCGCTTCCAAACCTTTTCTCCCACATTAAAACAGAGGTCCCTCTTGCGAAGGTTATAATGTTTTGA